CTGCTGTTGCTACTGCTGCTGCTGCTGCTGTTGTTGTTGTGGTTGTGGTTGTTGTTGTTGTTGTTGTTGTTGTTGTTGTTGTTGTTGTTGTTGTTGTTGTTTTTGTTGTTATTGTTGTTGTTGTGGTTGTTGTTGTTGTTGCTGCTGCTGCTGTTGTTGCTGTACTCTCATTTCTGAAGAATGATTATTGCAGATCCCCCCCGTCCTGTGCACCATTGTTTTTTCGAATGACGTGCCCTTCCCGGGGCTCGCACCTTTTTTTCAGCAGGGAAAGTCTTGAGGGTCAAACTGTGTCGGTGCCCTCCGGTTTACAACAACAACAACAACGGCTCCCGCCTTCTAGTTCCTCACAAGTTATTGAAGAATCGCGCTCTCGCTTGGGACTTCCTTGCAATTTACCACCGTATCGCGGCTCCCGTTTGATACGTCCTCACAATTTATTGAAGAATCGCGCTCCTCTCGACACGGTTGCAGTTCTCAATATCCTTCCGCCCCGCTCTCCCAACATCCCGCTTCTTTTTAGGGTCCCACAGAATTTGTTTCTGACACCAGTTCGCAGCTGTCCGTCCCCCGGTGGGGGTATCCACGATCTGTTCTTTTAAGGGGGTGGTACGTGGCGCTGTTTATGGCGCGACCCATGGTGAAACTCATGGTTAACCTGTGTTGAAGTGGCTGGCGCAAGCCATGGCGCAAGCTGAATCGCCACTCACAGCGCAAATCATCGTCCTGCCTCCTTCTTGCCCCTCCCCTCCTTTCCTCCGATCCCTTCGTCCTCATTCTCCCCTGTTATCTGTTACCCTTCGTTTCAAAGGCTTAGCCAACCACGCGTGGCAGGGAATGAGTATGCCCCCCCGAAAGAGGGTGCGATCGAAGACGAAGAGGGCGGGTATCCATGGTTTGGGATGTGCATATTGAATGACGCGAGCAGATAAGAGCGAACAGTTTTAAGATTATTGTTGTTGCTGTTGCTGTTGCTGTTGCTGTTGGTGTTGCTGTCGTTGTCGTTGTCGTTGTCGTTGTCGTTGTTGTTGTTGTTGTTGTTGTTGTTGTTGTTGTTGACGAAACCACTCATTGGCGCTCAGTGGCGCCGGCCCCAATCCCCCTCCCCGGCGCAACGCAACGCAACGGAACGCACGTTTTTTCCCGAATCCTATAGGATTCCAATGGGAATCCTATAGGGTCTCTGCGAACCTTTTGGGGTTCCGAAAGAAATCCCACAGGAATCCTATAGGGCCTCTGCGAATCCAATGGACATCTCATGGGAATCCCAGAGGAATCCTATGGGACTTTTTACGAATCCTATGGGAGTCCCATAGGAATCCAATGGGAATCCTAGTGGGCCTTTGCGAATCCGATTGGAATCCGATGGGAAGCCTGTAGGAAACCTATAGGGCCTTTTATGATTCCGATGGGAATCCCACAGGAATCCCATGGGACTCCTATAGGGTTTTTCGGATTCCTATGGGGATTCCATAGGAATGCTTCGGGAATCTTATAGGACCTCTACGAAGTCTGTAGGAGTCCTATAGGAATCCCAGAGGAATCCCATAGGGCCTCTACGAATCCTACAGGGATCCTATAGGATTCCAATGGGAATCTTAGAGGGCATCTACGGATCCGATAGGAATCCACTTGGAATCCTATAGGGCCTGATTCCTATGGGGATCCTATAGGAATCCAATGGGTATCCTGTAGGGCTTTCGCGAACCCGATAGGAACCCGATAGGAAGCCTGTAGGAAACTTGTAGGGCTTCTCCGATTCCAAGAGGAATCCCATAGGAGTCCTATAGGGCCTCTACGAACCCTGTAGGAATCCCAGAGGAATCCCATAATAATCCTATAGGGCCTTTTACGAATCTTATAGGAATCCTATAGCAAGCCTATAGGAATCCTATAGGGCCTCTGCGAATATTGTGGGATTCCCATATAAGTCTCATAGGATTCCTATAGCGCCTTTACGAACCCTATAGGACTCCTATAGGAACCTGATAGGAATCCCAGAGGGCCTTTACATATCCTATAGGACTCCCATAGGAATCCGAAAAGGCCTCTACGAGTCCTATAGGAATCCTATATGATTTTCATAAGTATCCTATAGGGCCTCCACGAATGCTTTTTAGGAATCCTATAGGAATCTTATAGAAATCCTGGAGAGTCTCTACGAATCCTATAGGAATCCAATGGGAATCCTATGGGGGTCCTATAGGGTCTCTTCGAATCTTATCGGAATCCGATAGGAGTCCTATCGGAATTATATGGCCTTTTCGCATCCTATAGGAATCCTGCGGGAACCCTATAGGGCTTGTACGAATCCCATAGGGCCTCTGGCCTCACAGGGAGCTCCTCCGAAACTTGATTTCGGCACACTTCTCTCGAGGATCGTGGCCCTGGCCTCAGAGGGAACTCCTCCGAAGCTTCATTTCGGCACACCCTTCTCGAGGATCGTGGCCCTCCCCTCACAGAGGGTTTCTCTGAAGCTTCATGTCGGCACACCCCTCAA